ATAAAGGCTTATAAATATCGGCAGGGTGGGGGGCAGGAGGACGGGGCCAGACTCTTTTCAGTGGTGCCCAGCGACAGGACAAGGGGCAACGGGCACAAACTGAAGCAGAGGAAGTTCCGTCTGAACGTGAGGAAGAACTTCTTCCCTCTGAGGGTGACGGAGCCCTGGCCCAGGCTGCCCAGGGAGGTTGTGGAGTCTCCTTCTCTGGAGATATTCAAGACCCGCCTGGACAAGGTTCTGTGCAGCCTGCTGTGGGTGACCCTGCTTCGGCAGGAGGGTTGGACTGGGTGACCCACAGAGGTCCCTTCTAACCCCGACCATTCTGTGATTCTGTGATTCTGTGAAGGGTCTCCAGGGATGAAGATCTACATCGACCCCTTCACTTACGAGGACCCCAATGAGGCAGTCCGAGAGTTCGCCAAGGAGATTGATGTATCCTTTGTGAAGATTGAAGAGGTCATTGGAGCAGGTGGGTCTCACCATCCCCTGCCACCTGTCCCTCCCTGCCCTTTTCTCCACTCCTGTGTGGCCACACACCCACCTTGGGCAATTTTCTGGGGGTGCACACATGGTCGTTCACTGGGAGACCCTCCAGGAAGCCTCGAGGCATCAGGCTTATCTGGGTTTGTGATGGATTAAGGAGGGCACAAGGTTGGTTTCTGCTCTCAAAGTTCCTCTGAGGTGAGAAACATATTTTCCTGAACATATTTTCTGGGTGACCGCAAATCCCTTTTGGGATTTCCTAGTTGGCTTTCCCATGAGATAACAAGAAAAAGCCAGATCTCACTCTAGTCTGTGCCATATTCCCATACATATGTATATATACATATGCGTGCATGTATCTGTATGTCATCTGTGCTGCTTTTATTGCCACTTTTAAATAACTGTGTCGTACTCGTAGAAGAGAAAGTGAGAAGCAGGGGGGAAGCTGCAAAGAAGCAATGAGCTGGTTCGGTTAGGATCAAGTTCAGCAATATATCAGCTGCCATTTGCTGCTCATCAAGGCAAAGTGGCTGCAAACCTGGCTTAAATGTAATCCCTCCACAGGCAAATTTTGCCTTGGTGAAGGAAAAGCTCTCCTGCTGAAAATGAGAGGATGCTTTCTCTGTATTTTAAATCAGAGGGCCGCAATGAAAACAGCCCAATTATTTTCTGTTCCGAGATAAGTGATGCGCAGAAAGGCAACTGAGATTATCAATGCCGACACCTTGTATCTGAGGTAGTCCTTAAATGTTGATGCTCTTGCTCTGCAAATCCTTCTTGCGGGGGTTTACAAGAGCAGCCTCAGCCTCCACTTCTGTCGGTGCCGGGCTCTGTCACCTTGGAGAAGCTTGCAAGCCCAAACACGTCCTTAGCAGCAGCCATTGCCCCTTTTAAAGAGGACAAGCATTATAGAGGAGAGCATTGCTGTGGTGTTAACTGGCTGACGTTTCTCAGCTGGTTGGTTTGGAGACCAAGCAGCTCAGGGTGCCATTTCTCTTCATGTGGAGGAGGAGGTGAAAGCGGATGGTCTTGCACTTGCAGGGGAGTTTGGAGAAGTGTATAAAGGACGCCTGAAGTTGCCTGGCAAGCGGGAGATCTACGTGGCCATCAAAACGCTCAAAGCCGGCTACTCCGAAAAGCAGCGCCGGGATTTCCTGAGTGAGGCCAGCATCATGGGGCAGTTCGACCATCCCAACATCATTCGGCTGGAAGGGGTGGTGACCAAAAGCCGACCGGTCATGATAATCACAGAGTTCATGGAGAATGGGGCCCTGGACTCGTTCCTGCGGGTAAGGCGAGGTGGGGCTGTGCGGGATGTTGTTCAGCTCTGGGATTCGGGAACGAGGTGTTGGCATGCTGTCCTGTAAATCCCAGTCTGTTTCTTTAGCTCAGGAGGTGGTTGCAGTGTGCCGTATCTCCCCAAAACACGTGTTTTGGTGTTCATAGAATCATTAAGGTTGGAAGAGACCTCTAAGATCATCAAGTCCAACCGTCAACCCAACCCCACCATGCCTGCTAAACCACGTCCTGAATTGCCAGATCTACACGTTTTTTGAACACCTCCAGGGATGGGGACTCCAGCACTTCCCTGGGCAGCCTGTTCCAATGCCTGACCACTCTTTCAGTAAAGAAATTTTTCCTAATATCCAAGCTAAACCTCCCCTGATGCAACTTGAGGTCACTGCCTCTCGTCTTATCGCTAGTTACTTGGGAGAAGAGACCAACCCCCACCTCACTACAACCTCCTTTAAGGTAGTTGTGGAGAGCACTAAGGTCCCCCCTCAGCCTCCTCTTCTCCAGACTAAACAACCCCAGTTCCCTCAGCCGCTCCTCATAAGACTTGTTCTCCAGACCCTTCACCAGCCTCGTTGCTCTTCTCTGGACACGTTGGCATACCTCTGCTTTGATCAGGCAGGGCAAGGCAACTGGGCAGTCCTCTTGGGAGGTGCAGCATCCTCCCAAGGTTGGGGGTGAGCAGCTCTGGTCCCATGGTGGGGTCTGCACGCTCACCCTGGTGTCTGCCCTTTCCTGTCACAGCAAAACGACGGGCAGTTCACAGTGATCCAGCTGGTGGGGATGCTCAGAGGAATTGCCGCCGGGATGAAGTACCTTGCAGAGATGAATTACGTGCACCGAGATCTGGCTGCCAGGAACATCCTGGTCAATAGCAACCTGGTGTGCAAAGTGTCAGACTTTGGCCTCTCACGCTACCTGCAGGATGATACTTCCGACCCCACCTACACCAGCTCCTTGGTACGTACCTCTTGCAAGATTTGGTCTTGCTGAGCATCCCCCGTGCCTGCCCTACTGCCAGCTGATCTGGGGAGAAGGGCGCTGGAGGTGCGCCGTGGAGGTTCTGCCATGGGTGGGAGCATCTTGGGAGGATTCTTACCACGTAGGCTCGTGGCCCAGAGACCCTGGCTGTGGTTGCCGCCGATCATCCTTTTTTCTCTCCTTTCTTTTCCTCCCTTTTATGATTTTTCTGCCTCCCTCCTCCCCCAAGCACCTTTCTGCCCTTGGCAGTTTCCAGGTAAGCCTCTTCCCTCTACTTTGTGGAGGGAGGGTGCACGCAGTTGTCCCTGGAGAGACCGGAAAGGGACCTGGGGAGATCACAGCATCTCCTGACAGCACAGCGACGGTGTTTTAACTCCCCTTCCCCCAGCACTCCAGGTCTGGTGTGCCTTTCTCTGCTGGAAACTTGGTCCAGGCATTAATTAAGGAGACAAGCCTAATGGGAGCTCTGCCGTTCCCCAGCCACCCTTCTTGTCCTTAATTAACACATTCGTAGGTAATGGCAGCCCAGCTCTCCCCTTGCTGCTCTGGGGGACCCCCAGCTCCCCACCACAGCCACCCTCCTGCCAGGGAGCTCGTGAGACCCTCAGTGGTGTTGAGGATGAACAGAGGAGAAGGGGACGAGCAACCCGTTGACCTCATCTGATTGACTAATGAAAAGAGCTTGTGCTGGGTGCAAGCACAAGGCTGCACCTCCTGCAGAAGCAGTTTCTTGGGCTGCTGAACTGTGCCCAGGGGCCGGGGCCAGCTCCAGCCTGTGAAACGGGAAACCCGTGGACATGCCTCTGAGGCTGGCTTCGTGTTGTGGCCTGGCTGCAGCCCCTTGCTCTTCCTGCCCAGCTCGTGGGATGTTTCCCCCTCGTCCCAGACCTGCCCTGCTCTGTCCCCACGCCTGTGCTGCAGGCAGCAGCCTTTGAGCAGACACCCATCTGTTATTTTTTTCGTCAAATACCCGGGCACTCGGTGCTGGCACGAGGCATAAAGTAGCCTTTCCCCACCTTTAGAGATAAAAGAGATTATCTCATCTGTGTTTTTATTTAATTTGGGTCATAATAGATCTCCCCGGCAGCTGGGAAGTGATGCTGTGCCTGCGATTACATCACTCTGCCTCCCACAGCAGGTTTTTAGCTCTGGGGAAAAGGCAGGAAAAACAACCTAGCAGTTAATTTCTCCATTTGTAGTTATTCAAATAAAATTTTTTGCCATTCATCCTTGAAGAGCAGCTGACGCTTCGTCGGAAAGGCTAGGGAAAACAATTGTGCTAAACGATTTACAATGCAGTTCTGCCCGCAGTAAATACCATGCATGTCTGTGGTTTTCCTTCATCCCCTGGCTTTTTTTGCTGTTATTTTAGCGGTGCTTACCGAGGGAGCAGTCCCTCTGTACGAGCTGCCCCTCCGCAGCATCTCTGCCCCCTCGGCATGGCCTCCAGCCCTTCCTGTCCTGCCAGGAGCTGGGACCTGCCCGGGCTCGATGGGGTGGCTTGAGATGCTGAGCCTGATTCTGAGCTTTAGGAGAAATGAGGGACTCTCTTTCCTATTCCAGTGCTTTCCAAGTTTTTGGGGCTTAAAGGTGTTTTGCTTTTTGCCTCTCACCCCAAAAGTGGGGCTGGAAAGACCTTCCAGCAGCTGTTGGAGCTCAGCTGATGCTGTAGAGGATGCTCTTTGTTTCCAGTGAAGGCTGAGGGATGGGGATACCTGCAGCTCCTTATCTGAGTGCTAGTGCATAGCCCTTGTGGTTACCTGATGTCTCCCTGAGAAGAGACCTGGGGACGTGCCACCGATGCGCTGTGTCCTGCAGGGCAGCTGGAGTGGGGAGGTGTCACTTGGGGGTGACACCCGAGTGGGATAAATCCTTTCATTTAGCGAAGCCCTTTTGTGCAGCTACGAGATGAATTCGTGGAGGTGTTTTCGGCTCCCTCCTCCGGCTCCTCTGCTGAGGTTGCCATTTCTCAGCTGCTCTCCCTTATTCCGTAGGGGGGGAAGATCCCTGTCAGGTGGACCGCGCCGGAGGCCATCGCCTACCGCAAATTCACCTCAGCCAGCGACGTCTGGAGCTACGGCATCGTCATGTGGGAGGTGATGTCGTTCGGGGAGAGGCCCTACTGGGACATGTCCAACCAAGACGTAAGCACTGGGGGTCATCCCCACAGATCTGGGGGGTGGGCTCGTTCCCAAAAGAAAGCCCTGGCTGAATGCCTGTCTGCTCCTTCCCAGAGCCTCGGCAGCACTTGGTTTTGGAGATGAAACAGGCTGGTGAGCGAGAGGATGGAAGGAGGGAAATGGGGAAGAAAAGCCAGTGGGCTGGTAATTGGACTTCAGGAAGCTGCAGGGTCTTTGAAAATGTTCAGAGAGTTTACGAGCGGAGAAAGAGCTTTGGTAGTTGGACTGCTGTACTCCGATGCGATCTGCCGAGATAATGAGTGGCAGCTCTCCGTCGGGAGGAACTGCAGTGCGCGGAGCATCAGAGCGGAGATTAACCTCTGAGAGCCCTGGCTCTGTCGGAGCCGGGAGCGTCTCCTCCTGCTCCCTTTGCTGATGATCAAATGGGCTGGCAGCCGCCTTCCCGGCCTGCGGCAGCGCTGCCTGCAGCACCTCCGCCCGCACACGCAGCTCGGCTCGGAG